ACCAAAACCTTGCCACGCAAAAACAACACACCCAGTGATTTCATTAGAAGCTAGGAAGCTGGAACATAGCTCTTCTTCTCACAGAGAAGAGTAGGACTAAATTTCAGTCCTAAGAGTTGTTAAAGCTCTGTGTCCAAGGCAGTTCAAACCAAATAAATTAAACAACTGAAGGCAGAGCTGTTGTCATCAGGCAGGTGACAGGCAGTATCATTTGTATCTTTCCCAATATTGATGCTTCTCAGAAGGAAAAAAATCTTGTAATAACTACAGCTAAGACATACTAAATTCACACAATGTCAGAGCCCAAAGAATTATGTATATAGTCTTGTTCAGTCAGGTGAGATCACAAGTATTCTTCATCCAGAATTAGATTTGCAAGGCTTCTGTTCTTGTATTTGGTTCCACTTAGTACTCCTTAAAATTTGAAGAAGTTGTATTTGATTTTTTTAAAAAAATTGTTAATCAGTAATGGAATATCTGTGATAGAAACAAGCAGCTTATTCACATTTAATTGTCTAAGAGAAACTGCATACAACAAATTGGTGTATCATATTTATTAGATATTCCATACGAATGTGAAGTATTTTTGGTTTTTCCTCATTGTAGAATGAAGTTCCCATCCACTGTGTAACCTGCAACTGTGCGTTCCCATCCCGAAATAAACTATTTGAACACCTAAAAGCCACGGGACATGCAAAAGCAACACAAGCCCCAGCAGTAAATGGAGCTGTAAACACCAGAAACAAAAAAGAGAAACGTAAAAACAGATAGAACTTTGTTACAGTGACAGTCTTCAGAATGGTACGTGAAAACTCTCCTAAAACTCAGAGGTGCACGTTGGCTGTGTTCAGAGTTAAACAGAGGCGGCAAGTCTTTATCTTGGGGAAAAAGGAAGATGCAGCAAAAGGAATGTTTTTGTCTTGTGAAGGAACCTGTGCTTTCTTCAGGTCTGATCAACCTTTCTTCAGCGGCTGGATTTTACCTATTATTTCAGCAGCTTTTACATTGGTGGTGGTGAAACTAATTCAAAGCTACTCAGCTTGTGTTCCTGTAGAAACTTGCAACGGTAAAGTACCCAGAGGAAATAATAAATTATGTTAACTCTTCTGTTGCTGCTTTTCTTTTGAGAGGGCTTAGCTGAGGCAGAGTGTAGCCAATAGAAGGGCCTGTGCTTCTTTGATCATTTATCAAAGAGGAAATACCACTGAGACATGGAAAAACACAGGCTTTTCTTCTGCATCCCCAGGGGCCCTTTCGGATTACTTAATTATATTAAATAGCAGGCAGAAGGGAAGGAGTAAGATGACAAAACTGGTCAGTTTTGA